GACCAAGATAAATTAAATAAAAGCCCAAGGATAAGGGAGTAAGTACAATATTATTGTTTGGGCCGAATAAAAGGTAAGGGAATAAGACGAGAGACCATTTGTGTCCACTTACAAAAAAAAATAGAAATATAAATGAGTTTGAGCCCGGAATATTGGGGAGGACTATCTATCCAATACATTTTAGGATCGACCTACTATGGTCTACTAGCCTAAAATGATATAAATAAATGAATAAAAGTCATTTAGGCCCAACCGAGATATATCAAGTAACCAAAGTGGCATTTTTTCCCAAATTGCCGAAAATAGCAGGTATAAGGGTGAAGGGTTGCCTACACTCTAATCGGGGTAGCCCATACTAAATATAACCAAAATATAATGGATGAGGAGATTAACTAATACATTGGGTTGGAGTAATTAAAATAAACAGCCCATGAACCCAACCCAACTTAATTGGCCCAACCTTACAAAAAAAATAGAAGAGATAAGAGAGGGAGCCTCATCCTCTCCTCTCCTTTTTGAACCATACGTATGAGAGCTAGGAAAGAGGGAGGGGATTCTTGAGAGCTCTATACACACACACCACAAAGAATGAAGGAAGAAGGCCAAGGAGGGGAGCAATCCAGGCAAAACAAGTCCTAGAAGTAAGAATCTCATAGCTATGGTTATTGTTCTTTCATTTTATATAGTTTTCATATATGATTTTATAGAAATCATATGATGGATTTTAGGGGATGTTCTACACGTTTAAAAGTGTAGAAATACGATATAAAGTGTTGGTAATTAACTTAGAAGAGTTGTTGAATCGATAGGAATCGAAATCGCCGGAAACCGCCACTTCTAGGTGCTGTTTTCGTGCAGCAGAACCCGAAAGCCGGGCAGCTTTTGCAAAAGCCGGGCGGCTTTTGTCCTCTGCCAGCCAAGGTGGATTCAGATCATTCCCGATCGAAGGTTTAACGACGGGGCTTCAATAGGCAACCTTGCTGGACATATTTAAGGTGAGGATGGCTGACTATATTGTCTATAACTCGTGAGTTGAGCATGAGATTACCTAAGTAATCAAATTATGATTTTGATGGAATTAAATGATATACTCCAATGTGAATAAATGTGTTGCTATGTGGTGATACAAATTGATACATGATATTACTAAGGTGGATAAGCAAAGGCATTATGCATGAGGGGAGAAATCCTTGAAATATATTAATTATTGAATTGATATAGAGGATTAGTATGATATAGACAAATGTTGATAAATGTGTGATTCCATAAGATCTTAAAAGGGATATATGGATACCTATGTGGATAGGCAAAATGATTAAATGTGAAGTAAGGAATACTTGAGTTATTGACATGATCAAAGTGATATGAATCCGTGGTGACTAATTGTATGTGCTATCTATAGTATTGAATTAGATAGGCATGAACTTAGAATGAGTGATGGACTATGGTCACACTCAAAGGAAATGGTGGAGTCTACCTAGACTATATGAAGGCAGCCCGGGGAGTCTTGATGAAGACTAGCCCGAGGTCGATAGATTATGATTGCTCGTGTACAATGAGTATACGGGGATATATATACGGGGTGTGTAAGCCCTAACGAGATAAAGGATACTACGCGGGGTGTGTAAGCCCTACACGAATAAAGTATTACGCGGGGTGTGTAAGCCCTAATGAATAAAGTATTATACGGGGTGTGTAAGCCCTACATGATAAAGTATTACGCGGGGTGTGTAAGCCCTAAATGAGTAAAGTATTACGCGGGGTGTGTAAGCCCTAAATGAGTAAAGTATTACGCGGGGTGTGTAAGCCCTAAATGAGTAAAGTATTACGCGGGGTGTGTAAGCCCTAAATGAGTAAAGTATTACGCGGGGTGTGTAAGCCCTAAATGAGTAAAGTATTATACGGGGTGTGTAAGCCCTACACGAACTAAGAATATACGGGGTGTGTAAGCCCTAAATGAATCAACGATATTATACTGGGGGCGTAAGCCCAAAATGAATGAATACACCCGTAGGGTGGGTAAGTCCAACGTGGACGAGTACAAATGATAAATTGTGTAACCCTCTCGATGGAGTTGGGTTTAGACTAGGGGTGGGATAACCTCTCGATATTGCTATATGCAAGAATAGGCCAAGGGCTGTACAAGGGGAATTGTTTTGAAATACAAATGGACCTACGGGTCGGCTATTTGACTTGGTATATATATTCTATACAAGTGATTTGAAATGGGGTAGTTGTAGGTTATGCCCATAATATAGTATCACCCTATTTTGAGGGTCTTGTGTTTGAAACATGAATTATATTCAGTATAGTTGTCATTGTACTTGTCAAATGCTTCCAAGTACTGACCTCCCCTTCACGGGGGAGGCCACCTCACAGTTTCAGGTAGAAGCTAGAGCTTGCTTCCTGTTCCCGTTGCTTCGGGTGATCCATGGAGAGAAGACGTGGTTCATGCTTCTTCCAGTTCTATTTTGATATAAATAAAATAATGCTCATGGACTATTTTTAAATTATAAATGATTTGGGAGCCTGCGTGCTCATGTTCGCCCTGTGTGGCCTTTTACTTTTAAAAGTATTTGTATTCCGCTGCGTATAATTGAAATGCTTTATTTATGATTGTTTATGGATGTACTAGTGTGAATGGTATTCATGTACGCCTTGCATGGTTCGAGTAGGGTGAACTGCGGTTGCCTTAATCGGATTATGCGGCGGTTGTTAGCGCGTCTGGCCAGGCCGGGGCGTGACACATGTTATTCAAAAAGTGTTTAATTTTATTTTTTAAGTTTTTTATACATATCTAAAAAATGTTAATAATTAGTTTTACATTGTTTCAACTTTCATATTATACTCAAAGAGATTATAAAATGATAAATTTAAAGTTTCTAATAGATTTATGTAACCGATAACAAATTTTTTCTAAGTAGAGTGGTTTCGAAGTTAGGGATAAATTAAAAAATAAAATAATACATTCGTAGTATTATAGAGATGAAAAACAATAGAAAAATTACAAGAACCTAAACCAAAGCCCATTAGAAGGATTAGAAACTTACTTAAGTTTACAGAAAAAAGTTACAACACTTCCTCTTGATCGACACAGTCACACAGAGTCCAAAACTTATTTAAGTTTAGAATAAATTTCACTTTTGGTCCTATGAGTTTGAGGTCAATTCCACATTTAGTCCACATCTTTCACTTTGTTCTCTTTGATACCTGACTATTGTGTTTTCGCCCATATATGATCCTTCCGGCATTGTTTTCGGTGGTAAAACTCACCGGAAAAGGACAACAAACGATTAAAAAACATTAGTCAAGTATCAAAAGTGGACAAAATGAAAAACGTGGACTAAATGTGGAATTGATACAAAACTCAACTAAAAGTGGAATTAATTCTTTAAGTTTATTACAAAAAACTTAAGTACTCCATCTTGATCGACAGAGTCCAATTTAATAATGCAACACCGTTACACCGACACTATTTTATGTGTTATACTCCGTAGTTTATTCTTTCCGCAATATTTTATGTTTACACCAGTGGCTTCTTTTTGAACAAAAAGCAAGTTCAATCTGGTCGACCCCTACTACATGTCTACATGTATCCACCACGTTTATATTAACAGGTTGTTATTTTGGAAATTTGGATATTAGTCATATTACTACCTTCATGGCTTCGTCACACTAACATTGTGAACAAGAGTGTGACACGATTATTTAAAAAAAGTGAATTTATGTTGTTGATATTGAATTCATAAACTATAAATAAAATAAAAATGATTTAGAGTCACACAAATTTTATCATATTTGGTATGAGATAATATAAGTGAGATTTTTCGAAAGGAAAAAATGGGATAACCTTAGCATGATGGAGGGAAAAACATTGCAAGTAATTAGGAAAAAGGCTAAAGGGTCAAATAGGTCCATGTACCGGTCGTGTAAGCTCAATTCAGTCCCTGAACTAAAAAATATCCAATTCACATCCCGAACCGGGTAAAAAATTCAAATTTCATTTTTTAATAGGTTTGACACTTGTTAAACCTTAAAAAATTCAAATATTTCCAATTCGCACCCCTAAATTATTAAAAAGTGTCAAAATTGCAATAAATCAAAAATAAAAAACAGAAACAATAAAAAATTTAAAAAATCACGAGTTGTTTATCCATAAAAAATGAAAGTTGAACATTTTTTTATCAGTTCGGGATGTGAATGGACCCTTTCGTTTTGGAAAAAGAATGTCAAGTTGTCAACTATCAATGGTCACACCAAGTCTCCGACCGAGTACAGATAATTGTTGCAAGTTGTAATCAGCAAGAATGGGACCTGACGGGCCGTATGAAAGAGATTAATCAAGAACAACGAAGTGGTTTAGAGATGTTGGATTCACACTTTGCTTCTTACACTTGTACTTCTGTTTTTGTTTTTGGTGATTTTTCCTTGGACTAAAGATCATGTTTTTGCCCTTTTACTTTGATCACTCTTGATTTTAGCCCATAAGGCCATAACGGTAGTTTAATGAAGACTGTTAAATGAATCCCATATTGAATTGTGACTGATTTTCATAAGAAAAAAAAATATAGTCAAAATGCCATATTCGCCACTTACACCATAACATCAGTTGAGTACTTGTGAAACTGGTTAGAAGGGTCTAATTGCATGGTCAATTAAATGCAAGTGATGGGCTGGTTATACACCGGTTGATGGACCGGTTATACTGTGAATCTGCGATTCCCGTCACATTAGGCAATATATAGAATATTTTACTTGGATTGTAATTTGTTGGTCTGATCTGGTCTGAACTGGTCTGGTCTCGTAATGTCTGCTCTCTTTGTACTTTTATAACTACCCAGGTCTGGTCTGGTCTGAACTGGTCTGGACTGGTCTAGGACAGATTACAGTCCAAGTAAAAAACATCCATAGTTGAACCGTTCGGGTTCTAAAACACTGCATAGTGCATATATATGTCCGTTCCCAGATGATCGAAACTTAAACCATTGACCAAACCACACTCATCTGAACTGCATTTCATTGATCTAGCTTTGGTCACAAGAAATTTATAGTATGAAACATTTACAGTAAAGCAATTAGATGTTCTCAATTCTAACAAAAATTGCTCATAAGAATCCATAATGCTTATTACCTACCTCTAAGAAAAACCAACAATGTTCTCTCATTACCAACCTTTACCAATGAGCCACAACCAGTCAAGTGTAACACCGGCAAATATACCTCCTAGAAGAAATGACACTAGTATATTCCCCAACGCGTTTTGCTCGGGACCCTGCAATACATGGGCAGCAACAAATCTCCATAAGAATGATTTATGATGAGATGAGGAAAAATGAACTTCAAAGTTCAAACTATACATGTGTGGTGTACGTAGATAGGGAATAAAACTAGCAATATTAAAAATAAAAAATGACCCTCAACATGATATAATTGTGTAAAATATCAGGAACTCCATTATAGAAACACAGACAATCAACCATCATAAAGTGCCAGATCTTGATGAAAATTATTATTGCCATTATATTGTTGTTGTTATAATGGAGGTGCTCATGCGACTGAATGACATATGTCTAAAAGAGGTGTTCCATAATAGCAGACTCTAAGAAAGTCACAGAATATGCAACTTCTGAGTTTTGGATATTCTCGGGTACCACTAACAAGCTATCCCAGATACTTGTGTTATGACTTGAGCTTCATCACGAAAGGAAAGAGTAGCACAAAAAGTGTATCTTTTCATTTGACCGGTGCGAAACGGCTTAACAGCTTGTTGAGTCATACCAATCTTGCAATTTGCGATCTCTTTTTTGAGTCATAGTCAGATTGACTGTTACTTGAATTTTATGAATTATGATACTATATTTCAATTTGGATTATATCCTAAAAGACTAATGATAGGAAGAGTAACTAAGACTTTATATGTGAAACTGTATCATTATATTGAATGGTGTGAAAAGACCTAACAAACACTTGGAGCAATAGTATCTTTATAATACCAGAAACTAACCTTGTAGCCTTTGGGAGCAGAAGTAAAGACGCAGACAGTTAGGTACCCATTGGTCAGCCCCAAGAAGGAGGTCAAAAGAATCATCCATCCCTGATCACCATATTTGGCCGTAAAGTAGAACGCCGGGATGAGTAAGTAGCGTGAGAGGATCGCCACCATAAGCCCCTTCCTTGATTCGAGCTTTATGAATTTTAATAGCGGCACATATCTCCCGATGAGATCCCACACATTGTACATAGCTATCAACACAAGTGCATACCTGGAAAATTGATGCTAAGATAGTAAGATCATAAGTCAACCATCACCAGCCATAAGACTGCATTAACTTAATGTGATCTTCTCACCATGAACCCAGGCTGTGGGCCCCGGTATCCTCTGATAAAAATCCAGGAAAAATGGATAATGTCAATGCATATATCATGAAGATCTCTATTGCATAATCTATATTCTGCATTAACAAATCTTTGTTGCTTAGTCTATCCATCTGTGAGGTATGATTGTTCTGTGCCTGCAACGTACCCAAATAAATTCTTAGAGCAATAGGTGCAATTTTCACTTGATTTCACTATCATAAAAAAACATATTGAAGTTTGCACCCACTTTTTCATCCATATCTAAGTTTGCGCTGCACTTCCAAAATCATTAATTTTTGCATCCTAAAGATGAGAATATGCACCCTATTATTAACAGATCCTCTGGCTGGGTGTGAGTATTATTTACTTAAAAAATGGGGTGCAAATTTGGATGAAGAAGTGGCGTGCAAACTCCAATTTCACCAAACGCATTTCTTGTACAACCTCTGTTATAATGCCACCAGCAGCAAGATCGGAAGCAACAGTCTTTGCACCCTCTGAAGATGCTTTGTTGCGATAATATTTTACAATCGGTATCTTTGGGAAGACAAGTGCATAGAGAAGGATGCAGAGGAACTCGAAGATTGTACATATTGTGAAAAACAAAACTGCAATTGAAGTTGCAACACACTTTAATATTCAATATCAATTACTAACATTTTAAGACTAGAAAGCAAAAACTTCGGTCCAAAACTACAGGTATGACAACAGAAATTATTAGAAACAACAAATAAGAGAAAATGAAATAGGAAGGGATAGTTGAAACTTGAAAATTTGATAGAAACTGAATTCGTATATTTAATTTTGTTAAGATAAATACAACATCATGCAAGTAGCTGGAATTTTTTAGTGTTGCAGTCAGATGGCTTTCCATCTAAAATGTTTTGCACATGTTCTTGAAAATTCAAGATGATTGCACCACCAGCCAATATAACTACAGAAGTATTTATCTTATATCGATTAAAAATAACAAATCAACACAGTAATAATAACCAGTTATTATGCCTATAACTAGGCTCAATAGTAACCATTTTGCTTTCAGCTTGAAATGTTCACAAAATCTCATTGTAGTCTCACCAACTATGCCTATGGTTTGTACCTCTAAATAGGATACAAAAACAACTTTTGAGTATTAAAGCTTTGACTTTTCCTATTTCTTCTTCTTCTAGTTCTTAATTTGTAAACTTTAATTGTCTTCAAATTTGAATAATCTTTTGAACTTCCATGATACATTTAAATTTAAATGAGATTATTAAGAAAGAGGGAATAGACCATACTGGCTCCTTTACGAAGACCATCTTTAGAATTGTCAAATATTGCTCTGGTAATTAACCTCAACCCAGATGTTAAAGCGCCTGAAGCCGCCGAACCAGCAAAAAAAGACTGAAAAAGATTGCACCAAGCTCATGTAGTTTACATCCCAAAAATCATAAGATGTATGTGTAATGTGTATATGTATATGTATATGTATATGTATATGTATATGTATATGTATATGTATATGTATATGTATATGTATATGTAAAAAAAAGGCTCCTATGTTGAATGCTTTAATTAATGGTACATCGTGCAAAAAAGGGAAAATTACATTAAAGATAGATTCCATATCTAAAAGTAATTAATTGAAATAAATATGCACTCCTAACGTTCCTTAAAAGAAAGACAAAGGTAAACTTTGATTAACTACTCATGTATCAATCCCATAAAAAAAGGCTGTTAACATACATAACTATTTATTTAGATATTATTTTGTCAAATCTATCACTACAATATGTGTGTGGATGTATTTATATAACACTCGTTATTACTTTATATACATATGTAAACATGGAAAAACTAACATGTTTAAACAAAAACAACATGAACAAACCTGAACAAACTCCGGTAACATGAATGAAAGATCTCCAACCATTCCACCCTGGACATGAGCGTCTGCAACACCAAAAGCACCACTGATTGCGCATATTCCGATGTACGTTCCAATCCCTCCCTTACCGGATGTGGCCAAATCCAACTTTGGAAAATAATGTGGAAATAAAACATCAGTATAATTACTAACAACTGTAGGAAAAAATAGGAGGTGTTTGAGGAAAAGAAAGAGACTTACAACAAGAACTAGAAGAGTACTAATGAAAAAAAGAGAATATCCAAAGAGATTGCGTTTTCTTGTATTTATTTTTGCCTCCTTGTATGCGAGTATTCCAATTGTCCCAAGCGCAAATGGTTGATAGCAAAGGGTGAGGACCCTTGAAGGGTGGTAGTTCTATGCAAACAGATAATCACAATATTATTAAATGCACAAAGTAGTTACTTATATAACTTCAAATGCACGTGAAAATCTGGAACTACAAGAACCACAAGACAAAGTAACCTGAATGTGATGAACTGTCTATAGGTAAACCAGAGAGGTCAATTATGCCCTAAATAATAGGAATTATTACAATCGCCCGGTTATACACTTATAGTCACCCACCTTGATATGAGGAAAAACATAGTGTATAATCGTCAAAATGTTTGTTTTTAGTAAGTATAGATTTAATTAGCGCTTTGAAAGCAATCAATGCAGACAAAAGGAGTAGATGCATCAGTAGTAACCTAGCCTATGCAAAATCTTTTCATCCGATTAAGACTTAGAGTTCATGCTAAATGCTAAAGGTCTGTCTTATGGGAAGAGTAACCAAAGCTCCGGTGCGAGATGACTTAGCTCGATTTAGTAGACTAATTTTGATATTATTAAATCTTGTGAGGATCAATTCTGTTCTAACTAAGGCTTGAAGTTCTATTCTTAAAAAATGATAATTGACCAGTGTGAGATCACTTAAGACATCTATTCAAACATCCATCAGTGTATTAGATTACATGTACTGAATGATTTCCACTAATACCTTCTCATTTGATTATCGTACTTGAGAAATATTATTCATTGCACTAACAAGTGAGAACTGAGAATGAATGCAAACCATAAAATACTACAAAAAGCAATTACTAAGCACATTATATTACTACCCATTCAAGCATCCTCCTGGATTACAATCTTGAGTTCCCATCACAAATGCATGAAACTATTTGAGTGTTCACGCATGCAATTCACAGTTACCAATGTAAAATATTCAAAATCGGATTATCAGCGTGCTTAATTATCAATTACCGGAAACAAGTAGGCATAATAATCCCCTATTGTTAGCATACTGTTCCACGAAAAGAGGCACCCGTTTCCCAGAAGCCAACACACTAGCATTGCAGTAAACTTCCCCTGGGTAGCAAATTAACAATACGAATAAACAATTGCATAAAACCAGCCACATAAGTCATACATTACTGCAGTCTGCAGGGTTTGGTTACTGTAAATCATATTTTCTGTAATTTAATACTAGTACAATTAATTACATAAGACATTGACAACCAACCTCGAGTCTTGCTGGAGAACCCCCTTCCGTGGCCATGGGTTCACTTCTTTTCCTGTTCTCGAACAATAAAAAACACAAACTTGAGACAATTTTAAAATGTAAATGTACACATGGTGTAGTGAAAAAGTACGAACTTTTTTACCTTTCCCGTATAATATACTCCGTGATATACAAAAAGAAAGAATCTTGAGGCAAAAAAGCACAAGAATTTTGTGAATCCTGCAGATATAAAAAAAAAGGTGGGGAGAGATGAAGGGCGTCAGAACTGTTGTAGAATACCTGGAGAGTGGTGTTATAGTTGCTTCAGGACTTCTTTACATATCAGGTCTTTGTCGTATAATGCGTGACCACGGCTTTACCGCCGAAATCCGGGCAAAGTGATTCATACGGAAAGTGGGAGTGGGGTCGTCACTATGGGTCCCGTTGTTGCTAAATCCATTAAATACCGCAAATTATACCGTGGGATCATCCCACGGTGAGCATGGTGCTCCTGATCCCAAACGGTGTCGTTTGATTATTACAAATGACCGACTTTCTTCAGATTTGCAGACCCGTGCCCTATCAGATTCGGATGTTGCTAAACTACACAATTAGATCGCTTCTCCTCTTCCCTTCATTGCTGGAATCGCTACCAGAAAGGAGTTCAACTCACTACACCAAACTGAGTCACCTCCCATGGCGAAGTTGATTCTTGAAGATGGGAGCTACAACATTTTCCCTTCCCCATCAAAGCCTCCAATCTCCTTCAGGACCCCACAGTTCTCATCTGCAACTCCGACGACGTTTCCGCCATCAGCACCGACGAGGAGCTCCAGCCCGGTCACCTCTATTTTGCTCTCTTGCTGGCCCGTTTCAAGTGCTCCGTAGTGCTCTGTTTTTTTTTTTTTTTGAAGAATGCTCTCTGGTTCTCTTTTTTTGGGCAGCCCTGCTAGTTTCTTGAAAAGTAGTTTGGGTTAAAAAGTTACATTTTTGTTAAAAATATTTACATTTATATTGGTATGAAGTTACATATTCATTTGTGTGAGTTACATATACATATTTTTATGCTTAAGTTACATTATTTTATAAGCGAGTTACATCTTCTAAAACGCAAGTTACATTTGTTATCAACGCGAGTTACACTTGTAATAACATGAGTTACATAAATAAATCATGTATTGAGTTACATGAAACAAAAAAAAAATTGATTTTTTAAAATCCTTGTGATGGTCATGATATTAAAAACACAAAACATATTCACAATTTATGTAAAGTAATTGTGTGGTTACTCTTTTTTTTCATTGTTTACATTGAAATCAATGTTTCATCTCTTAGGCATCGTATTGGATAAGTTACATTTCAATTGACCTACAGTTACATTTCTTATCAAGGTAAGTTACACTTCTTTACACGCGAGTTACATCACGATATTACTGGGACAAAAAATAAAAAAATTAAAAGCTACTGTTCACGCGTGTTACTGTTCACGCGTGTTACTGTTCACGCGTGAATTTTTTTAATTAAAAGTTGTGCAAAACTATGTCGTTTTAAGAGCAGGAGTATGGTGCTCATCGTGGGATGATACCACGGTATAGCGCCTCATTAAATACCCGTAAAATCTCAGATGATTATGAAAATTAAATATCAGAACAAATTCATTGTATTCAATCCTAGTGATGTTTTTGATAGCCCGGATTCGATTCGGGTTCGGATATAGCCAGTTAAAGCCCAAGTGATAAATCGTTACTTTATCCTTTATTTTAAAACTATTTTCAAATAAAATTATCAAAAAAATAAATTATAAATAATAAGATCTATATTAGTCTTCAAAATCACTAACTCAAATCTAAATAAAATAATTTATCTTAATTTTGATTTTAAAATCTATAAAAATGTAATTAAAGTTACTAAAAAATATTTTTTCATTGTCACTAAGCTATACAAATTGAACATAGTTGTTGTCACTAAAAGCTTCCAGTACTAATCACTTTTTTATGCAACATGCTTATTTTAGTAATATACTACGTATTATAAATTATTTCTAAATTATATTGATATATTATTTTGATTTTATATTAAAGATAATTGTTTCAGATTTTGATCGGTCCAAGTCGGGTTATGATTTTAGGGATCGCTAGTGAATCCGATTTTTTGAGCTCGGTCCGGTTATTTTTTATTTGGGCCTTCCAAAATTGGACCAATCACGTTTTACGGTCTGGGCTAGGGTCTGTTTCCAGGTTTCAATTCGATTTTTCTCACATTACGTAAACTAGTAAACGTGGATTAATGGTGTATTAGAAAACCCCAAATAAAAGAGTGTTTTCTAGCTTAAAAAATGTTGTTTAGGTTAAACCTAAATTTATTCTCCGGTCAGCGTAAATTATTCGTAAACTTATTTTGTATATTCAACTTTGATCAAATTTGGATTTTTCAATTGTGACTTTATAAATTTTTTTAATGTAGTTTTCGAATATATTACTCCATCTCTATCATTATAAATTTATGTATTCCTTTTCGGGTCGAATCAAATGAATTGTAACATTTTCGTTTTCGGAAATAAGTTTATCTCTAAAATAGGTACAATACACTTTAATCAAATATACAGTATTGATATTGTATCAAAAGTATCATACATTTTTAAAAGTTTAGAGTAAACCTATAACATTATCTTAAATTAGGTGAAAAGTTTATCGTTACACTTAAAAGATCAAATACGGAGGGAGTAAGAGTTAACAAAAATGATTTTTGTACTCATGCACTCTTAGTCTCTTATACACACTTTTGTACTCACTTATGTTTGTGAAGTTTTTTTGTCTGAGAACCCCGGTTCACAGACAATATTTTGCACAAACAAAATATAAAAAACACTTCACAAACATGGTGAGTATAAGATGGGTATAAGAATGAGTACATCAAACCTTACTTATGTATTACTAAGTAGGTGTGACTGGTGTGTTTGCATTACTTATGTAGCCTTCTAATTTAGGGATTCCTGCACGACTATTCTCTCCAGTGCACAGTGACATACCCAAAACTTTTATTGGGGGGGTTCGCTTAGTTCATGTGCTATCACTTTTATATCAAAAAATGTCATGGCATTTCGTTCAATTTGCATGATATGTGGTAGAAATAGTTGGATTATATCTGAGTGTAGGATTAGTTACTTTAGCTCGCTTATTACTCAAAAGCTGACTTAAACGGTTATATTTCATAAACACAATGTTTGTTCCTCAACAAATGCTTCATTTTTCGACGAAAACACACGAAGTATAATGTAAGTTAACGTGACAATGGTAGAAATTTGGCGTATCTAAGACTCTCGGTGTAGGATTATCCGTTTGAACACATGGTTATATCATCAGAAAACTAATTCAAAGGTCTAGAACTTTAATCAAGACAATAAATTTTCATTCTCGGCAGATCGATGCATCCTTTTTCGTTCAAAATATGTAATTTAAATATGTTCAATAATCAATGTGTTGTGTGGTAGAAATTCGATCATATCACGTTTTTGTACTATCCATTTGAGCTCATTTGTATATCATTAGACGGCTAACTTAAATGATAATAACTTTTATTGAGGAAACATACTTCAAATTTTAAACGATGCGTCGTTTTTTATCCAAAAAAAATATGTGAATATTTTCAAGTAATGTGATACTTCGTATATGATAGAAATTTGATCTCATTTTTATATCACTCCAAAGTTAAATTAAAAGATGTAACTTTCATCCAGAACACATATATTGAATTGTCCTAACGAATGCGACATTTTTTTGTTCAAGTATGTCATGCATACTTGTTTATATATCAATGTGACACATGGTAGATGTTTGATAATGTCGATCATAGAGTAAGATTATCCAGTTGAACTCTTTATATCAATGGAATGATATCACAAAGAGATACAATTTTCACAAAAGAAAACATATTTGAAACCCTAACAAAGACATATTTTTCAATCTAAATATTTCTTTTAGATTATAGAACCAATGCGACATTTGATAGATCATTGATCATATCTTGGCATAGGATTATAGATCATTGATCATATCTTGCAGTATAAAATTATAGATCATTGATCATATCTTGGTATAGGATTATAGAACATTTCACTTCTATACTACTACCTCCGTCCCGGTGGACTTTGCCAAGTGCAAAGTTGGTGAGAAATAAGAATAGTAAAAATTGTGTGGTTGAGATTTGTGCAGAGGGAAGAGAAATGTGCAGAACCACAAATTAGTTGCTTTAATAGGAAAGTGGCAAAGTTTTTTGGGACAACCAAAATGACAAATTAAAGTTGACAAAGTCCAATGAGACGGATGAAGTATGACACAAATATAATTTGTCTCAAGCCATGAGACGTTTTGTTTTGTTTTATTTAAAGATTCATCCATAATATAATGATGTGGTTTTAATTTTAAGTTGCCGCATACTTTTTAAAAATACTTGAGAACTAAATAATGTCGTTTTGACTATTGAGTCTGTATTGCAAGTGATAACGTTTTCTTCTTTTTCAAAGTAATAATGATTCTTATTAAAATCTTATACGACATTTAAGTTTAAACATTCATCCAAGAACTACGAGTAATAGTTTTCAACAAGATCAGAAGTGGAGCATAAATTCAACTACTTCAGTACTAAAGGTGTGTGTGCAAAAAAAATGTTTTTAGCTTTTGCCTTAACAAAAGCTGAAATAAATATTTTCTAAGCGACTAGTACTTCTGCCTAAGTTAAACACTTAAAAGTTGAATTAGGTGGAGGGGTGCTTTAAAGTTTAAATTGTTTTTCATTTTTTCTATTACACAAAAAACACTTATTTTATTAAATAATATCAATTTTTACTTTTTAGAAGCATTTTTTATCAAACGCTACCAACATTTACTATATATCAAGCACTTTCTTCAAAATCACTTCATAAAATCACTTTTTTAGTAGAAGCAATCACAAACACTTCTTAATATTATTTCCTCAATTTCTTCTTCTCTAGAATTTTTTGTTATTTCCAAGCAGTGATTATAATAGTAATTATGATGATGTTCTAATTTACGTTGCAGTGATTAATTAATTTGTTCCTATGTCCTATGTCATATGTCGTGCTTTTGTCCATCCAACTAATTTAAGTAAAGTATTTGGGATTTTTTTTTTAACGAACACTAGCCTCTATTTATATCATAAGTTTCAGGATCCAGATCATTACATCAATCAAAGGAAAAACAAATCTGACACCAACTAGACTCCAACAACTACGACTGTAAACCCTATGATAAGCCTTAGAAACGGTCACCCCTGAAAGAGCAACATGAATCGCTAATCATGTAACGGGCTTGACACAGCCATCCCTATTCTCATAGATCCAAACATGCTCAATGACATCAAACAAGGCTAAATTCCCAAACAAACTGACAAACCTAACAACTTAGACGATAACAAGAAACCAAATGACAAAATAATGAAAACTTATTTAAAAACTTTCACGGACTCTAGCATCTCGCACAATCCATGGCGGTGGTTGAGAAGGAAGCCGTCGCAGTGGCGGACCCACTAAGGGTCCCACGGGGTCCCGGGACCCCGTGTACTTCCAAAACTTTACCTATATATATTATATTTATTTTTTTGCAAAACGCATTAGTTATTTATATATACAACAAATGTGACTACGATTGCTGAAGATTGCGCTAGCGGAATGGGAACGTCCGGATATCAAATGCCTCTCTTTTCTCTTGGTCACGGGTTCAACACCCCCTGAATGTAATTTTTTGTTAATTCTAATCTTCTTATTTTAGAAGACCAAAATGACTTTGAGCCCGTTTGGTAGCATGAAAATCTGCTGTTTTGGCTGATTCTGCTGAAATTTATGAAATTCTGGCTGAAGTGGCTGTTTTGGCTGATTCTGCTGATTCAAGAAAAAAATATTTTAAAAATAAATTTTATTGATAAATTA